ACTTTCGTACCGTCGTGTGTGTGTGTGTGTGTGTGTTGTGTGTGTGTGTGTGTGTGTGTTGTGTGTGTGTCTGTGTGTGTGTGTGTGTGTGCACGTACTGGTGGAGGGTGTCTGATTGCAGCGCGGCCCACGAGCTCAACTCCTCCGTTGCGGCTGTCAGTCGTTGTCAGAGGTGACGAAGGTGAGCAATGACAATCCAACACCGCGCATACACACACATACAGGAGCATACACAGGCGAACACACAGATACACACACACACGCACACACACACACACAGATACACACATGCATACACGCACATGCACTCACCCCAGAGCCACGATGTGGCAACACGCCAGAGGGATGAGAAGATGGCACGCAGCGGCGGAAACAAAAGCGCATCGAATTCAGACAAGTTAAAACTCAACGCTGCTGACGATGATGATGATGATGATGATGATGATGATGATGATGATGATGATGATGATGATGATGATGATGATGATGATGTTGATGATGATGGTGATGCTGATGATGATGGCTGCGGTTTCTGTGGAATTTGAAGTGCGAGATCATAAAACGACTCCTCACGAACGGAAGACTGTCGTGTGTATGTGTTGTGTTTGTTTGTTGTTTGTGTGTTGTGTGTGCGTGTGTATGTGCGTGCGTGTGTATGTGCGTGCGTGTGTTGGGCCATTTGAGTTGTTGTGCTGAAAGGGGTTGGCTTGAGCGGGACGAATTACAACAGTACCATGGTGGGAGCGCCACAACGCACGCGTCTCCACGACGCTCAAAGGAAGACAACCGCGATTCAAACACACACACACACACACAGACACAGACACACACCTTGTGACATGTGAGGCATTCAACCCTGCTTTCGACGGTGCCACTGAAGACTGACGAAATGACGCTCTTTTTCTTTGCTTTTGTGTTGCCTGCAGGCACACAATACATTCAGGCGAAGAAGTCGTGTGTTGATTGATGACCAACACGAAAACCGAGGGCGACGTGAGCTCAACCAGACGCACGTAGCAGAGGTCGCTGCTGATGATGGTGCGTGTCGTGCCCACTCACAACCACTCATGATAACTGCGAGCAATGCACAGCCACACCAACCACATCCGCAGCCACCACATCCACCAACGCACCAGTCAAAACAGCAAACAGTCACCAAGCAGCCAGCCACCAACAACAACCAACACCGGTATTACCAAGTGTGCTGGATTCATCAACGGGCAGGGAGAGCTCCTCATCCAACTTGTCCAACGCATACCGAAGGAACTCAACCGTGTCCTGTCGTAATGAGACAGAGAGAGAGAGAGAGGCAGAGAGAGAGAGAGGACACGTACGCACACACATCGGTGCATACACACGCACACGGATGGTGTCAATCTACGCGATGTGCAAAGGCAATGACGACGACAACAATAGCAACCCATCCACACTCGAAGAAGTATTCGCACACACACACACACGTGCACCCGTGCAAAGACAGGCACAGCAAGCACACTGGTTGCATCACACACACATACACACACACATACACACACACATGCAGGAACATGCAGGCACACACGGACTCATGCACAGCCGCACCTGTTGTCCGTAGCCTTGGAAGAGGAGGTTGGATGAGCGAACATGGCGCACAAACTCAGATGGAGCAATGTAGGCACCCTTGGCAAAGGCAATGCGATGAACGAGGTGACGGAACTGCTGAACAAGCGTCGTCCTGTCCCCGCCACGCGGCTGCGACTGCTGTACGTGTCCATCGCAAGTGAGGAAGAAGTCCTGGATGGGAAGGCAGTGCAGCAGCGCCTGGATGGCCGAATTCATGTAGCACGTGTTGCCATGGTTGAGCAGCCCCACCATCCGTGCCTCCACAGGTCTGGCGCCGTCCGCTCTGGCCGATGCCGGTGTTGTGAAAGCCGCCGCCGCTGACTGCTCTGCACTGGAAGCGTGGGGTGAGCGTTGCGTCGTGTCGGGGTCACCATGTGAAAATTCTGGCTGCTGCTGCTGCTGCGGCAGCGAAGTGCGGTCACCCGAGGAGCCTTGGTTTGTGTTGTCGGCAACGCATTGTTCTTGTCCTGGATGCTGCATGTAGCTCTCCTTGCCCTCCTCAGCGGGCCTGCCCTCCTCACCGTCCGCCCCGTTGTCTGCCTGTGCTTGTTGTGCTCTACGGGGTTGCTGGGAACGCAACGTGTGCAGGTGCTGTTGGCCTCGTGCCGCTGCGTGCTTTGTCTCACCCTCTGCAAACAAGGCTGCATGCGCGTCCACGGTCGTGGCGTTGGTCGTCACCGAGGACCCCAGCCCGCTGCTGCTCGACTCTGATGCACTGCGGGTGGATTGCGATGTGCATGCACGTTTGAGGCTGGTTGTTGTTGGCGTTGTTGACGGCTTTGCGGCGGTGGTTGCTGCTGATGCTGCACCCGGTGACCGTGTTCGTCTTGGCATCTTGGCGGCAATCACAGAGCCCACCACGGCTGCGTCTTGCGACGCGGCACGTCGCTTTGGACTGGCGTCATCTCCATGATGCTGCTTCTGCTGCTCCTGCTGCTGCTTCTGCTGCTGCTTCTGCTGCTGCTTCTGCTGCTGCTTCTGTTGGTTTGTCTTTGCCTTGCCCTTTGTCTGTTGCTTCTTGCTGTTGTGGCCCTTGCTGCCACCACCGCTGCTGCGCTTTCCTCTCGCCATCTTTGCGGTGCTGCGCCAGTCGGAGAAATAGCGATATCTCCCCTATTTTCTCTACAATAGACATCGGGCACTTCAGCTGCCCCTTAACAGCGCCACATCACTCCATGATGTCGTGATCGGCTTACTTGCGCACCACGACAACTCCAGCGTGTGTGTTGGTGCACCGCAGCCACGACTCGCACTGCCTTGCTGCTCCTGTTCGCCCAGCACACGTTCATGTCGCTGCCATTCCTTCCGCACCCGGACATCGATCGCACTTGGCGCGCTTGGGTGTGTGCATTGTGCATTTGCACAACAACGGCGATGTTTTGGGTTGATGACTGCAAGCGCATGCCCCATGTCGCAACATCACCCAACGTCACATCAGGCGCCCCTCGCTTCGCAGCCAGCAAATCGTAAACACCACGTGGCTATCAACCGCGATGGTGTCAACGACACTCCAGAGACCCCGCAACGACACAGGTACATCGGCCAATGCGTGTGCACGCACAGTTTCCTGTTTGCGTCCTTTGCCTCATCATCCCTCTCTCCACACGCACACACACACACACACACACACACACACACACACACACACATTCACACCCCCTCTCTCCTCTCACCCTCGCCCTAACACACGCGCGCACGCACGCACAGAACCCAAGCACATGACAATCTCATCACCAATTGTTATTGCTGCAATCCAACCGGCGCAGCAGCTGCCGCTGAATGGCACTGTTGTTACGTGAGGTGACATGCGCGACAACGACATGCTTCCACGCACGGCGAGGTGCCTCGTACCCCCTCGCACCGCCACCACCGTCACCAGCATCACCCGCCATGTCGAGCGGAGAATAAGCGAGATGCAGCGGTGAGGCGTGCCATTTTTCTCACCTCGCCAATCTTCGCGCTTCAGCCACCTGAAGCAGGCCCTCGTGGACCATAACCTGGCGCCCAGCACCGCACACCAATAAGGGGACAACAGAGCGCGCATCCGCACACGCAGCGATGGCGCCACGCACCCAGGATGCTGCTGCGCTGCCAGCCAGCACCCACCAAAACACGCCAGCACCGCGGCCAACGACGCCCGCTTCGAGCGCGCTGCCAAGCACCAGCACAAGCACAACGCCACTCTCTGCGTGGGTCGACCCCAGTATCGTTCCCAGCAACATGATCCTCTCCGACAAGCCCAAGTTTACCGGGTCGCCCGCACGCTTTGGGTCCTCCTCGTCCTCGTCCTCTTCCTCACTTGCACCGGCACCATCGGACAGTGGGCTGCCGGCGAGTGCACTGCCGCTCACGGACGTGACCATCACGGCGGAGCCCGCCACCAACGGCAACAGCCGCTACATGTGGCTGGCGCTGTTTCTCATGACGCTGTTCACGGGCGCAGGCATCTTCCTCTTCCGCGTGCAAGTTGTCGTCATGGGCGACGATGACGCGCTCGACCCCGGCACCTTCATCGCCTTCCTCTGCCTCGGAAGCTTCGTGGGCCAGCTCCCATATGTGCTGCATCTCGCGCGGCAGGTCACGAGCGCCCGGCCCACCAAGTTTGTCTTCCTCGGCGCCTTTGCCGGCATCTTCAACTGCGCGGGCATGAATGGCTACGTGATGATGACCACAGACGGCGGCGAGGCCTCGCTGCTCGCACCACTCACCTCCCTTTGGGTCGTGCTGCCGGTGCTGTATGGCGTTGTTGTCATTGGCGACCGGCTGTCTGGCCGGCGCTGGTTTGGCGTGCTGCTATCCATCGGCGCGGGTGTCATGTTCGCGTTTAGCGGCGGCGGCGAAGGTGTCGACTTCAGTGACACACGCACCGTCGGTCTTTACTTCCTCTGCTTCTTCGGCTGGGGCATCTGCACCATCCTCTTCCAGCTCGTGTCTGCTGCCAAGGACGGCTCTTTCGCTGCCGGGTACGCGGCGAACGTGTTTGGCTTTGCGCTCACGGGCGTCATCTTCGTTGCCGCCGTTCACCGCTCCATCGACTGGCACCTCACTGCCGGTCACGCCATTGTTGCTGTTGGCGGCTGCCTGCACGGCTTGGGTACCGTGGGCTTCCTGCACCTGTGCAAGACCATGCCTGAGGAGGCAGCTGTTGTTGCGCCTCTCAGCACCCTGACGGTTTTGTGGCCCGTCTTCTTTGGCATGATCATCCTTGGCGAGTCGTCTCCCCCTCTCAAGATTGCAGGCATCATTGCCGCTGTCTTTGGCGCCCTTCTCATGGGCATCCAAGACCTGAACGAGCTCAAGGACATGATCTTCAAGAAGCGCGGCGAGCCCGTGGTGTACGAGCACGTGAACCTGCTTGCGGGCAAGCCTGTGGTGCGTGGCGGCTACGACGTGTCTGACGCTGTGGAGGAGGACACGCGGGTAGTGATCCGGTCTGCGCGCGCACGCAAGGGCCGTGTGACGCTGACGCTTGAGGTGAGCGCACCGCTGCTGTCGACGACGGATACGGAGGTGATTCACCTGCCCACCATCACCCTCGACCCCAACACCATCGAGCAAGACGACGACGACGATGGGGAAGGCAACGACGATGATGATGCTGAAGGCACCGCCACCACCACCACCACCAACAACAACAACAACAACGGTGACGCGCTGGCGATTCACGAGCGCGAACGCCTTACAGCAGCAACAACAACTGCAGAGCAGTTTGGCTTTGACCATCAGCAGCAACAGGGCGGCGGTGCTGGCCGACTGGAATCCACGTCCATGTTGTCCTCGTCCACGCTGCCTTTGCTGCCGCCAGGCCACGTTGCACCTGGTGATACTGAGACGACCGTTGTTGTTGTGGACCATGGTGGTCGTGGTGATGGTCGGCACTAAGTAAGGAACTACACAAGTGTGGATTGTGAAGTCATGCATTGTGGCTTCCACATGCGTTGACGCATGTAACGTCAATGTATGTATGCACGTATGTTTGCGTAGGCACGTGTGTGTGTGTGTGTGTCCCACGTGTTCTCTTTCTTGACTCTTGACTCTTGACCTAGGTCTGTACTTCTCTTGACCGGCTGTGTTCCTTCCTTCCTTCCTTGCGATCTTCGGCTTTCTTCCAATCTCTAGATGAATGTTGCAATTGTTGCTCCTCCTACCATGCCCGTACCTTCTGCACTTTCTTCCTCTTTCCATACATCGTTTCCTGTTCTTACCTCGATGTCACAAACGTGCGCGCCAGCGTAGCGCTGTCATGTTGGAACGTTGCATGACAAACCAACTTCACACTGTAGTAAACAACCTCACCAACTCCATCATCAACTCTGTTTGCCATCACCAGTCTCTCTCTCTCTCTCTCTCTCTCTCTCTCTCTCTCTCTCTCTCTGCCACGGCTTTCCTCTGCAGCATGTAACATGAGCGCTGTGTTGCTTGCTGTCCGCTGCGTTGTGGTGACGCATGAGCCTGCTCTGGCAGCAAGAAGAAGCGAACAAGCAAAGTGATGTGACGTGAACGACACCAAACGCAACGCACTTGTACCCCAATCGATTGTTTTTCAAGACATTCGTCAATGTTCCATGTTGACACTTTACGGGAATATCGAGCGCCCGATGGCACTCGTCACCTTGATGTTCGCTATGCTTTGTGCTGTTGCAAAAAGCAGGCAAAAAACCGGAACCGCACCCGGCCAGCGAATGCGCACTTAGGCGCACGGTGGCACGATGCACCAGCCCACGTTGTGGGGGGTGCCTCCATTGTACGATGCGAACCCCCGGATACACCAAGCCACCCATGACACTTCCTTTGAGCCCTTCCCCCACACACACAGCAAAGTGTCAAGTGTCAAGTGTCAAAGTGTCAAGTGTCAAGTGTCAACAGCATGTGCTATGACTGCAATACCCCCCTGGATTGGTGCAACGCCTGCAACACATGTCTCACAAGCACACACAGCACACACACACGCACACACACACACACACATTGTCACATTCACAGCAACCACCCAAACTACCAAGAAGCAAGCAAGTGCACTTCATGTCACATCACATCACCCACACGTCACAGGTACTGTGTACCTGACCGACACTCACACGTGCGCCCTTTCATGGGTCACCAACACACAACACAGAGGAGCTCTGGGGTACCCCTGTACCCGGACGGACTGATTGGTCCGTTGTAATCCCCCGACCTCCCTTGGCAATGCATCATTCTGAGCTCACCCCGAGACCCCCCCAGGAATGCTCCAGAACAACAGAACCCCGTCCTTCCCCTCCCCCCCCCCGCTTGCCCACCATGCCGCCATGCCGCTGTGAGGAGACGCAGACAACCAGCGCGTGGTTGTTCATTTTCCCAACGCACTCCAAGCAGCTCATTGAACGGCCTACACGTGCGTCCCCCGCGAACAAGGAGGCCTTGCTCCACGCACCGCTCCCAAGCGCCTTCCTCCTGCTGCAGTCAACCTTGAACACACAGCCGCTGTCGTGAGCCCCTAGCCCTCAGCGCCTCACCGCTCCCCTCACTGCCCCCAACTACCCTTTGTCAAGGACGTCAGAAGGACGCCATGGCTCCACGTACCCATACTTCCATGTACTCGTCCTCTGCGCGCACGCGCTGGGCAGTGCCATCCCCGTCGTCGCCGTCGCCGCCACCGACACCGGCGCCTGCCACACAAACGCCAGCGACCACCACCACGCTCGCAGCTGCCACCCCATCGCTAGCAACGGCACCGCACGCCTTCATCAGCCACAGCACACCGTCCCCACTTCAGCCCGCACCACCCTCCACCTCCAGCCCTCCACCTCCACCGTTCTGGCAAGACAAGCCCAAGTACATCCCGGCCAGCAACACCAAACAGCAGCAGCAGCAGCAGCAAGCTGTGGACACCGCCGCTGGCTCCACGTCTCGGGATGAGGTGATGTCCTTTGCAGACGTCACCATCACGGCGCAGCCGCCTGCCACGGACCGCAGGTTCATGTGGCTTGCGCTGTTCATCACCACCCTCCTGACCGGCTCCAGCTTCTTCCTCTTCCGCGTGCAAGTTGTCGTCATGGGCGACGATGACGCGCTTGACCCCGGCACCTTCATCGCCTTCCTCTGCCTCGGAAACTTTGTCAGCCAGCTGCCGTATGTGCTCTACCTGAGCCGGCAGCTTGTGACTGTCAAGCCTTCCAAGGTGTGCTTCGTTGGGTTGCTTGCAGGCATCTTCAACTGCGCCGCCATGAACGGCTACGTGCTCATGACCACAGACGGCGGCGAGGCCTCGCTGCTCGCACCACTCACCTCCCTTTGGGTCGTGCTGCCGGTGCTGTATGGCGTGGCCATTGTTGGCGACAAGCTGTCTGGCCGGCGCTGGTTTGGTGTGCTGCTGTCTGTTGGCGCAGGCATCATGTTTGCCTTCAGCGGCGGCAACAACGGTGTTGACTTCAGTGATGGGCGCACCGTTGGCCTCTTCTTCCTCTGCTTCTTCGGCTGGGGCATCTGCACCATCCTGTGGCAGGTGTTCTCCTATGAGCAGGGCGGCGCGTTTGCGGCCAGCTATGGAGCCAATGTCCTCGGGTTCGCACTCACAGGCGTCATCTTCGTTGTCGCCGTTCACCGCTCCATCGATTGGAACCTCACTGCCGGTCACGCCATTGTCGTCGTTGGCGGCGCGCTCCACGGGCTCGGCACACTCGCGTTCATGCACCTGTGCAAGACCATGCCTGAGGAGGCAGCCATCGTTGCGCCTCTCAGCACCCTCTCCGTCCTGTGGCCCGTCTTCTTTGGCATGATCATCCTTGGCGAGTCGTCTCCCTCGCTCAAGATTGCAGGCATCATTGCCGCTGTCTTTGGCGCCCTTCTCATGGGCATCCAAAACCTGAACGAGCTCAAGGACATGATCTTCAAGAAGCGCGGCGAGCCCGTGGTGTACGAGCACGTGAACCTGCTTGCGGGCAAGCCTGTGGTGCGTGGCGGCTACGACGTGTCCGACGCTGTGGAGGAGGACACGCGGGTGGTGATCCGGTCTGCGCGCGCACGCAAGGGCCGTGTGACGCTGACGCTTGAGGTGAGCGCACCGCTGCTGTCGACGACGGATACGGAGGTGATTCACCTGCCCACCATCACCCTCGACCCCAACACCATCGAGCAAGACGACGACGACGATGGCGACGAGGACGATGGGGAAGGCAACGACGATGATGATGCTGAAGGCACCGCCACCACCACTAACAACAACAACAACAACAACAACAACAACAACAACAACAACAACAACAACAACAACAACAACAACAACAACAACAACAATAACAACAACAATGTGGAAGAGTGTGAGGAAGAAGGGCTAGAGTTGAGCAGTGGCTCACTGCTGCCGCCTGGTTCAGTGTCTGACAGGCATAAGGAAACCACTGTGATTGTTGTTGATGACAACACTGACGAGTGAATGGGCGAGTGTGAACGAGCGAGGAGGTTGATGGTGACGACAGGGATGATGATGATGATGTTGGTGTCGTTGGTGTTGTTGTGACGGGTGCTGTGCAGTCTGGGGTTGTCTGTTTGTTTGTTTGTTTGTTTGTTTGTTTGTTTGTTTGTTTGTTTGTTTGTTTGTGGGTCTGTGCACCATGTGGAGGATTGTCGTCTCTGGTGTCGTCATGCTCATGGTGCCTGCGCGCTTTGAGAGTGCTGGCTGGTCAATCAATGTGCCTCGGGTTGCAGATGCTTCCATCGAAACAACCCTGCTTTCTTTGTTTTGTCTTCGCCTAGGCACCTCGTTTCTTGTTTTTACTAGCCCGCGTAGAGTACTCTTTGCGCTAGAAGCACTAATATATTGAACCGTCACCGAGAGCCCTCCGTTTGCCCGCGCACCTTTTTTTGTTGCTGTTGTTTCCCGCGTTATCGCTGTCGCTTCTTGTCCTTGCATCTGAATATGTGTTGTCTCTTGTGCAACTTTGTGATTTTGTTGTTTTCCATACTTGGCACACATGCATACGGTCTGCGCAGTCCCTCTTCCGTTTGTGTTCTTCATACACACTCCATCCTTTCCGTTCTTTTCCCCCACAGCCCACTCCCACTCATATGTACGTCCCTGAGGTTTCTTCCTTAGTTCCTTGTTCCCAACTTCATGTGAAAGTCCTTTACACATAAACAATCCAGATTAGCGGAAGTGACATGAGATGAGACTTCCATCAACAACACAGCCGCTTCAATCACGTGTGTGTGTGATCGTGGCTTTTGATGGGGTTGAAGGGCAGTAAGCCAGGCACAGAGCACAACGCAGACATCAGCCGGACACCGCACACACGTGGCACAGCAACACACAGACGACTACGACCGTGTCGATCGTGTTTGCAACACATCGCCACTCAACGCAGCTAAACATTATTGGTGCGATGCGGATTGTCCATGAAACATTTCCAGAGAAATTCGCACATAGGATTGCCTCATGCACCCAAGCAAGGCATGGTCGCCTCCTCTTGCCTTTGCCTGCCTGCCTTTGCCTTTGCCTTGCTTGCTTGCTGTGCCTGCAGGCAACACCACCACCACCCACCACACAGCTTGAGTCACCCAGTCACCCCTCCTTCTCTGCTGCGCCACTCGCCCTTGCTTGCAGTGTAGATTGACGCAATCCGCAAAACATGGCTCTGTCTGCGTGAAGAGTAACGAGCCTTTGCCCCGCGGCTGCGGCTGCGAGAGACGGCAGGCATGTGGACATGAAGCAATCGCACTGTGCGTTGCTGTTGCGTGCGGGGTTGACTGCCTGCTGCATGGCACAGGTCGCACAACCATTCATGGGCTTCCCCATCACAGCACATCATCATCCCGCTCCATTTCCTCTTCCCTCCTTTTTTTCTCTTCCCTCCTGGTGGCTTGCACACACACACACACACACACACACACACACACAGCACACACACACACACACACACACACACACACACACACACAGCAGCACACACACACACACACATCTTCAGCCAGCGACACCAAGCCAACTACTTCGACCACACCACCCACAGCACAGCACCGGCACTTCAGCACAAAACAAGAACGAGGCTATGGCTACCTCAAGGCCTCCGCTCGATGGAAAACGGGCGCTGTCGCTCTCGCCTGTACAAACACTCTCACCAACATCTTCAACACTGCCACCTGAACCTGCACCACAACAGCAAGGAGGATATGGTGGTTCCAAGGCATCCCAGCGAGATCAAAGCCAGCAGCAGGCACAGCATGTTGACGATGAGCTGCACTCCCACTTGACCGAGGAACAGCAACAGCGACAGCTGCTGCTCTCCGGTGAAGGCTGGAAGAAGAAAGACGAGGCAGAGATTAAGCCCTTCACAGACGTCACCATCACGGCCAAGCCGCCAGTGACGGGCCGGCACTACATGTGGCTCACCCTCTTCCTAACAACCCTTTTTACTGGCTCCGGCGTCTTCCTCTTCCGCGTGCAAGTCGTCGTCATGGGCGACGATGACGCGCTCGACCCCGGCACATTCATCGCCTTCCTCTTGATCGGATACTTTGCGGGACAGCTCCCATATATCATCCACCTATTGCGACAAATCACCAGCATCAGGCCCAGCAAGTTCTTTCTGCTTGGCGCGCTGGCGGGCATCGTGAACAACGCGGGCATGAACGGCTACGTGCTCTTGACCACGGGCGGCGGCGAGGCCTCGCTGCTGGCACCACTGACCTCCCTCTGGGTCATCATCCCCGTGTTTTACGGCGTGTTTCTGGTCGGCGACCGCTTGCCCGTCCGGCGGTGGGTCGGCGTGCTGCTGTCCATCGGCGCAGGCATCATGTTTGCCTTCAGCGGCGGCAACAACGGTGTTGACTTCAGCGACGGGCGCACCGTTGGCCTCTTCTTCCTCTGCTTCATCGGCTGGGGAACGGGGACAGCGCTGTGGCAGGTGTTCTCCAACGAGCAGGGCGGCGCCTTTGCCGCAGGCTTCTGCACCAACGTCATCAGCTTCGTCATCACAGGCATCATCTTCATTGCCGCCGTCCACGGAGGCGTCGACTGGCACCTCACTGCCGGTCACGCCATTGTCGTCGTTGGCGGCGCGCTGTACGGCATTGGCACGCTTGCGTTCTTCCACCTCTGCAAGACAATGCCTGACGAGGCCGCTGTACTCGGCCCGCTCTCGTCCCTCTCATCCGTCTGGGCCGTGCTCTTTGGCATGATCATCCTCAGCGAGTCATCGCGCCCCGTCAAGGTCCTCGGCGTCATTGCCGCTGTGTTCGGCGTTCTTCTCATGGGCATCAAGGACTTGACTGAGCTCAAGGAGGTGGTGTTCAAGAAGTACGGTGAAGCGGTTGTACATGAGCATGTCAACCTGCTCGCCGCCAAGCCCGCAGTGCGTGGTGGGTACGATGTGTCCGACGCTGCTGCGGAGGATGTTTGCGTCGTCATCCGCACTGCCCGTGCACGAAAGGGGCGCGTGCTGCTCACGCTCGAGGTGAGCGCGCCTCTCCTGTCCACCAGCGAGCCGCAAATGATTCACCTTCCCCGCATCATGGTTGACCCCAGCACATTCGAAGAAGAAGACGACAAGGAAGATGATGATGATGATGAAGAAGAAGATGCCAGAGGCGATGAGAACAGCGGCAATGCAGACCAAGGGCGCTCGGGCTTGAAGAACTGTGATCAGAACAAGGACAGCAACGGCAGCAGCAATAGCAACGGCAACACCGCAACGAGTGCGAGCGCGAGTGCAGACAGCGATGTGGATGCCGCCAAGGAAGCGAAGGAAGGTACCACTGAAGAAACAAAGGAAGGTCACGCCAAAGGTTTGGAGGAGGATAGTCGTACCAGAGCACAACAACAACAACAACAACAACAACAACAACAACAACAACAACAACAACAACAACGGGAGCAGCCAACGCAGCAGTGGTTGGAAGAAGAGGAAGGACATGCGGCGTTATCACCAAGAGAAGGGACAGCAGCAACTGCAAGTCCTACTCGCACGGCTGCGAGTGATGTAAATTCAGCGATGACCATATCAACAACAGCAGCAAAAGAAGCAGCAACCGCAGAAGCAGCAACCAAAGCAGAAACCACAACAACAGCACTACCACCATCCTTATCACCAGCCCCACCAACAGGGAGAGCGCCAGCAGTATCAGCAGCAACCAATGCAGATTCGACCGTGGTGTTTGTTGGAGACGACGCTGACGGTGCTGGCACACATGCCAAGAATAATTGACGGGTTGTCCGAGATTTCGCAGTGATAGTCCAGGACAGGCTATTGTCACTTCATGTGTGTGTGTGTGTGTGTTGTGTATGTGTTGCGTGTGTGTGTGTTGTGTGTCGCGAATGGTTTGTCCAAAGTCGCACGCCCTTGCTCTCCAACGTTCATTCGTCTCGCTTGTTTGTTGGGCTTGAAGGTGGATCCAATGTCTCCTCACACGTGAGCGTGCATAACAAGCAAAATTGGACCCTTGTCAAGTTGAACAGTCCCACAAACAGAGAGCTGACGCACAAACAGACACAGACACAACCCAGACAGACAGACACAACTACAGACAGACACAACACGCACAACACAGACAGACACAGACACAACACAGACAGACAGACACAACTACAGACAGACACAACACACACAACACAGACAGACACAACACACAGACCACACACACACACACACAGACAGACAGACAGACAACAGACACACACTAATGCGTGTTACACGCCAGCGCTTCTCCTCTTGTTCTTGTTCTTCTTGGTTCTGCGCTTGGACGTGCGCCGTCGTCGGCGCGGTGTTGTGCTCTTCGTCGTGGCTTCCCCCCTCTGTCCCTGTTGCTGTTGTCCCTGTTGTTGCTGTTGTTGTCGCTGTTGCGCTTCATCCGCTCCACCTGCGTCACGTGCACGGGGACTGGCTCGGTGTCGGCGACCAGTGCTGCCACTGCCCTCTCTGTCGTCCTCATGGTCACCGCTTCTGACTGACCGCTTGGGGCGAAACCTGATTCGCTTCCCTTCAACCCAGGCTCCACCACCCTCCTTGTCATCCTCATCGCCACCATCATCATCACTCTCAAAGGTGGCGTGTCCATTGTGATCATGGTCGCCATGATCCCCACCACCACCACCACCACCACCACCGTCATAGTCATCATTGTCGTGGTTCGCGTGCTGCCCAAAGATGGTGTCGCGCATGTGCTCGTCGCCCTCGCCTACGTCATCGCCGGCCATCTGACCAAGGTTGCTGAAGAGGTTGGTGATGCGATCCAGTGATGCCAGCACATTGTCGGCATCAGCAAACAGCTCACGCAGCTCTTCCTTGTCTTCGGCACTCAGGTCCTCGCTCCCCTCCCAGTCGCCGCCACCACGCTCACGGACCACACTGCCAACCTCACCGTAACCGTCGCCATGGTAATCGCCGTCATCAAACTCGCGATCGCGTTCATCATCATCGTCGTTGTCATTGGCCCACAACTCTTCCTCTCCCCCCACATCCCCATGATCGCCACCACGCTCACTGCCATGCCCTGCATATTTTCGTTTTCCCAGTACGGCGTCGCCGGCGCCACGACGACCACCACCACCACCATCGGCATAATGATCATCCTCTTCCTCTGCGTCGCCTCCTCGACCACGTACACGGGTTTTACCCTTCACCTTCTCTGTCCCTCCCCCCTTCCCTGCGTACTTGTTTTGTGCCCTTTGTGCCTTGGATGCCTTGTCTGCTTCCTGCTTCTGCCGGTCCAGCCGCTTGCCCAGACGCTCGCTCGCCTCACGTGCGTGCGCCACTGATGCCTGCACATCTTGCAGCTCTGGCATCTCCGCGACAGGCTGCTCCAATGCCTCGCTCAGCGTGTCCACAAACACCTTCATCTGCTCCTGCGTCATGCCTGCAGGCACACCACCGCCAGCACCGTCGCCGCTGCTGCCAACGGTGTTGGTGCCGCCCTGCTCGTCTGCAAACTGCACGCCACGTGCGCCGCGAAGCATGGCCATCCCATCCCACGCACTGGCATCCTTGTGGCGGTCCGGTGTTGGCGCGCGCGCATCCACCGTGTCCTGGATGTCAAGCATGACGTCAACGAGGTCATCTGGCGCCATGTTTAGGTTGCGGCGCACCCAGTCCTGCGGGTGAAGGCTGGTGCGGGCCTGCTTGGAAGCAGCGCGGAGCTTCACAGCGTGGATGGGCGACGCGCTTGGTGTGGACATCAGTTCCGGCCGTGTTGCCAGCAGTCCGGCCAGGAAGCGCACCAGGGGTTCGATGTGTGCCTCCAGGTGTGCAAAGTCGATGAACACGCTCTCCATCATGTGGTGAATGGCCACGGCCTGGGAGGACTGGCGGTTGCTCTGCCATTCCGTGACGTCATCGGCTGTCTTGCGTAATTCAGGGTTGACGTGCGTGAAGTGCACGTGCTCGCTTCCATCATAGCGCAAACCCGTGTAGTACCGAATCACCGGGTGCAAGAAGTTGCTGCGGTGGCCCTGTTGCGTGTGCGCACGGGGCGCGTGGGGGATAGTCAGGATGAGCAGTTGTGAGGAGCGAGAAAAGCAACATGTGAGTGCAAACGTGAGCGCGAGCGAATGCATCTACCACACAAACATGCAAACATAGACACGCACACACACAGACAGACACAGACAGAAACAGATACGCACACGCACACATGCAAACATGCACACAGACAGACACAGACACACGCACGCACAGACATACACGCACGCACGCACACAGACACACACACGCACGCACGCACACACACAGACGCACACACACACATAGACACACTCACAGACACACAGACACACAGACACACAGACACAGCACTGCACACCTCGTCTGGGTGCAGCGCAGGGTCGACATGATCTGCGCCAAAGACATCAAACTTTTCTCGCGTCTTTCCAAAGTCTGGATGGTACTCGAGCGTAACGACGAGAAATGAGCGATGAAGGAACGCCTCACTTGTGAACAGAAGGTCACATGGCACGTGACTCTGATGCCGCCAGCAAGCCTTGTTTCTTCGACGGTCACCACCACCATTATTGCTGCTGTCGTCTTTGTCGTCGTCATCATCGCTGCTGCGCGGGTCCTTTCCATTGGCGTAGGTGTTGTCATGGTCACAGTCTCGATCGAACCACAGCACTTCGCACAGGGACGTGTACATCTGGTAAAGCCCGCTTGAGTACTGCACGCGTTCGATGATGGTGGACGCAATGTCCGCTGCTGTGTTTGGGACGGCGACTGTTGGCCACGGGCGGCTGAAATATCGCTCGCCAAGCACGTTGCCCAGCGTCTCCACTGCATAGCGAAAGCCGTGCACAGCAAACACGGCCGAGCGCTTGTTGTCACGACCCGCCATGAGGGTGCCTGACATGAAAAACGAGGAGGAGGGAGGGGGCGTCAGTGTACGGGAGGATAGATGGGAAGCGAAGCACGTGCGAACACACATGTACGCAGCACCTTTGCATGTTCACAACCAGACAAGCAGACAGGCAGACAAGCAGACAGACAACAGGCAAGCGCACAATCAGACAGACAACAAGACAGACAAACAGACAAGCACACAGGTCTACACACACACACACACACACACACACACACACACATGCATGCATCCACAGGTCTACACACACACACACATGCATGCGTACATACAAATACACACACACATACAAACACACACACATGCATGCGTACATACAAATACACACACACACACACACATACAAACACACACACTTACCGGCATAAAAGAGGTGGTCTGTGTTGACGGATTCCCATTCTGGAGTGAGGAGTGGATACTTCTTCCGTGTGTCCAAACGCGGTGCCGAGGATGCATCAAAGATGGTTGCGTCAGTCTGGAAGCCGAGTGCGCGAATGACATAATCGTAGGTGGCAGCACGTGCGGTGAATGTGCGCTGGTCACTGCGACCGGGAAACAGAATGTGCATTGCCTCCTGCGCGTCCTTGATTGGGCCCTGCCCATAGTATGTCGTGTCTGCCTCGATGGAGCCGTCGGCGTGTCGACCAAATGACGACTGCGCACTGATGATGCACGTGGAGATGAAGTTCTGTGCCTTGAGCTGGTATGTGTCGAGGAAAGCTGCGTTGATGCTGCGGACGTCGCCTGCGTAGTGCGTCTGCCACGAGAACTTGGGTGGGTTGCGCGAGCACATCTCGACAAAGTTGGCCACCCCGGAGATGTTGTTCGCAACCTGCATACGCGGTGCAGTGTGCATGCGAGTGTGTTGTGTGTTGTGAGGGTGGATGTTTGAACGAAACACAAGATGCGCGTGCATACAGACACAGACACAGACAGCCAGCCACACACACACACAGATACAGACAGACAGACACACACACACACACACACATGCACATACCTACAGATAGACAAACATAGACGCACAGACACACACACACATACATACACAGACAAAGTGGTGCACCTCAAAGGCGGAGTTGCCTGCTCCCAGGATAAGGACGCGCTTGCCCCTGTACTTGTGCAGCGATGAGGTTGGATCAAAGTCCTCGTAGCCCTCCGTGTTCTCAATGCCGGGTGCCACGCGTGGATATGACGGGATCGGCGTGCCCGTTGCCATGACAAGCGGGAGGCAGGTGCGCTTGAAGGTGGAACCGTCGTCGTTGCGCTGAAGGTGCAGCGTAAAGGGCACGGTGTCTCCTTCATCGTCACCATCGAGCCCCTGTGCTTTGCTGTCCGCTGTCGTCTTCTTGTTCGTCCTTCTGCCCTTTCTCCTCTTGTTCTTCTGTTTGGTTGGCTGGACGCGGGGCCGGGAGACGCGCGTGACCGTCGTGTTGAACTGGATGTTGAGGTTGTAGATGCGAGCAAAGTCGTTGAGGTAGTCGACCATGCGATCGGCGGGCGGATAGAACTCGGTGCTGTAGTTGCGGAAGAGCAGCTGCCCACGCGGATCGTCGCCATCGGTGATGAGCGAGTTCCAGTC